CCCCAAAACCCCAAAACCCCAAAACCCCGTAAGTCATTGTAATTAAAGTGTTTGACTACTTTTATAAATGATAAAATTACGAAAAATAGATTAATTAGTGGCAAAGTTTTCATGCACCATACTACTCATTATAGCTTTTAACTTTAAGCAATCATTAGGAGCTACTGTTGTGAATAATGCAACTATATTCTACAATATCTCAAGTGCTTACTTGCAAGCTTACCCAAGTGAAGTCCAAACTTAGAAAGCTGAATTAGTTTTCCAATTCATTCTCGAACATGAAATAGGAATAAATAGAACTGCTTATATTACTCTAGATTTTAACAAATTTCAAGAACAAAGTGGAATCATTTTGAATCCTGCATAAGTAAACTGCACGAATATTACTTACATCTATTACAATAGAACATGTGTATTAGAAGGTACTCACACTTAAATTTATAAATATTCGTTTAGATGGAATTTTGACATTTCACAACATAGTTAATTATACTAAAAGAAGGGTAATATACTAGTTTTTCATATTATAGGATGCAACTGCTGGTAATTTGACGTTTTTCTACGCAGCTATAGGCTTTAAATTAACAGGGATAAATACTCCTAATGTTGTAAGAGAGTATGGCCCTATATTCATGAAGTTGATTAATAAGACAAACTCAACGAATTTGACATATTTTGCGAATCATAGTTTTTATTTTTGAACCACCCCTGGTTAGCTATTAGATCAAGGATATATACTGTCAACATAAATTTATAATCCTGTAAGTACGACGAAAGAAGTAAATACTCTGACAATTTATTTATAAACTAGCAAAGTCATACCGCAGAATGGCTATTTAGAAATTGATATACCTTTGGAAATATATTTAGGCAATGATTTCGATTCAACTAACTAGGATTAGTTAAACTCAGATTGAAAATAAGTACCTTGTTCAGTAGTTTAGAATCTTGATTCTACTATATAGTGCCTTTAAAAAATAACAGTAGTAACTGAAGGAGAATATCCCAATCTAATTTTGAAAGAGCCAGTCACATTTCATAATACTCTGTTTATTAAGCAAATATTCGACCTTTAAACTGAGTATGAATAAGGGATTTATAGTTTAATACTCTATAATATTTCGTTTGATGTACCATCTGTAGAAAGATATTACTCAGAAAGACCCATTTATATTTAGGTTTTTGACAAAGATGGGGATCTCATAGAATTATCAGATCCAGACGAACAGAAAAATTATATTATTTTTGAGCCAAAGAAATCTTAATACAGTTAATATGCAGATTTAGCTACTTGTGATATGAGCGGTTGTGCTGATTAGACAACTGACTCTGAGAAGTAATCATTGATAACATTTTATCATAAAATGAATGGTGATTTTTGGAGATATAATGAAAATTGGCTAGTGGGTGATCCTTGCTAGAATCTATGGTATGGCGTAATTTGTAACAGAAAAGGTAACATTATAAGTTTGCATTTCTTTGAAAATCATCTTACTGGGGTTCTAGATGAAACATTTTCAAATTTGGTTTATCTGAAGCATCTAACAATTACAAACGATGGAAGGGAACATGAAAATATTACGAATCCTCACATGAATACACTTTACTACTGGAACAATGCTATCATATCTAAGCTAACCAATCTTGAAGAAATTAATATGCAATACTTATATATGTTTGGCTATATTGATTCATCAATCACAAATCTGGTTAAGTTAAAGTATTTGAATTTAGCAAATAATAACCTATCTCTGAGTTTACCTGAAACTGATGGTTGGTTAAATATGAAGCATCTTGAGTAGATAGAACTAGAGGGAAATTAATTGGCTGGAAATTTACCATCTTAATGGGCATTCTTGTAGACTTTGATATATGTTGATGTTAGTAGAAATAAGTTTACAGGAAGCATGATGATTTTGAAAGCTGCGGAAAATTTATAGGCTGTTGAATTCTCTGATAACTTATTCAGTGGAAATTTCCCTTATGATTATTTTGTTGATGACAAATTCTTCAGATTAGAATATGTCAATGCTAATTTTAACCCTGATATCAAAGTCCCTGAAAAATGCATAAGATATGCCTTCTGCTTTAAAAGTATCAATATCTATTTGCTAATATTTCTCTATAGAGATGTTTGTTTATGGAAGAGATGGCAACAAAATGCTTTACATCGATAATGCAACAATTTATACACTAAATAACCTATCAGTAAACTTTTCTTTCCCCACTTCAGATCTCTGATTATTTATTTTTTTTTTAATTTCTATTAGAATATTTGTGATTAGTCTATTACTGTCTATTATTCCTATTTCATGTTCGGGGTTTTGGGGTTTTGGGG